TGTGCATGATCAGAGGTCAGGAAAACAGACCTTACGGTGACAGGCTGAGAGCCATGGGGCTCTTTAGCCTGAAAAAGTGCAGGCTCAGGGGGGACCTAGTGGCTGCCTATAAGTTAAGGGGTGCTCACCAGGATCTGGGGGAACGGCTGTTCACATGGGAGAGCACCCCAAGGGATGACAAGGTCAAACGGTCACAAACTCCTCTGGGACCATTTCAGGCTGGACATAAGGAAGAACTTCTTTACTGCCCGAGCCCCCAAGGTCTGGAACAGCCTGCCACCAGAGGTGGTTCAAGCACCTACATTGAACACGTTCAAGAGCAAATTGGATGCTTATCTTGCTGGGATCCTATGACCCCAGCTGACTTCCTGCCCTTTGGGTGGGGGGCTGGACTCGATGATCTTCCGAGGTCCCTTCCAGCCTGAATGTCTATGAAATCTATTAAATTCTTTATCTACCTTAGAGAACTATATTTCTGTTCATAACTGTGGTACCTATGGCCTAGATCCTCATAGATACTAAGGTACCTCCTTAATTAGGTGCTTAGATACCATTAGAGATCTGGAACTGGATGCTTTCATGCAAAAAAGCTTATCAAACAGGGAGGCTCTTCAGTATTTTCTAAAGATGGTTAGATTCTGAATTCATCAAATCTCTGGGATTTTTGTTCCACAGTCAGATTACATGTATTTGTTGAATATAGAGAACTCTAGTTTGCCTTACATAATTATGGAGCTCTTTTATCTCTTGGTGGAACGTTATAATGTAGGTCTCTTTATTAGATGAGAATGTAGACAGAAGACAATTGTAATCATAAAAAGATTGAGTAGGCTAATTTCCTGAAGTTTATTTCCTTTTTGCAACAAATATTTATTGTCAAATGTTTATCATATTACTTTTTCATTTAGATTTTTTTAATACTTTATTGAATTAAAAATACCACATTACCATTGGCTAAAAGAGGAGACAACAATGTTTGCCAATAATTTCTACAGCTAATGCCAATGACTGGTGCCAATTTTTTTTGGTTCATATTTTTGTAGACAGCTTAGAGACTTACAATACAAGCATTCTGTAGATGAGGCATGAGAGATACAAAGATGAAGTGAGCAGAAATGTAAAGGGTTTCAGAATGAAAGCCAAGAGTTTCCTATAACATATTTCAGTTCACTGAATGCAAACACCAGTTCAGAGTAACTTAATGGCATGCACATATCAATACAGTGTAGTGGTGTATGAAGTCAGTGGTACATACCTTCCCAGATTGTGGCCAGTTAACTCAGAAGTACTGCATTCAGGATCAGAAATACTCAGACTTCTGTTCAAGTTTCTCATGAGAAAGCATCCAGACTTCTCATGAGAAATTACTCTAGATTATTTATAAATAGAGGCAGGGGGGAGGGAGTGTTGCTTATGTTTTAAAGATGTAAAATACTAAAGGCTAGATTAAAATCACCAGGGGACAAACAAAACTCTACTCATCTGTGCCTAACACAGAAGAATATTGTCTGCTGATCTGATATACTAACAAGTACATCGTGCAGGAGGAATGTCCAGAACACTATTTTAGGAGATGCTATTTCAGCATGAGAAAAACTGATTAGCCGGCAGCAAGCTGGCATTTCCCAATGCGAGGAGAGCATCCAAGAATGGCAGTCCTTTACTGCAACAAGGAATGCAGCAAATCTCTCTCCAAAATCTGGGCCAGCAGGCTGGTACTCATAAATATGGATGAACTTTCCTCTTGCTAGGTATTCCTGGGGTTTCCTTAAAGGGTACATATGCTCAAAGCTTGTTTCCAATACAGTAGTCCCAATGGTCTGATCCCTGATGGATTCAGAAAACACAGCCTCCCCAGATTCTTTTCTCATTGTTTTCATGCTCTGTGTTAGCTAGTTGTCAGATCCAAAATAAATACAAGAGCAAATGTGAAACTCTGAGCCTGTTCCCAGGACTTGCCTGTGTTCAACAGTTTTATTCATTTGGCGGTTAGGAACCTTGCTTATAATTGTTATTTTCTTTTTCATAATCAGTTCAAAGCTCCAGAAATTCTCAGAAGGCAAGGGGATGGCTTGCTAAAAAATAATACTGGCTACCCAGTGAAAGGGCAAAACATCTGTCAGTCACTCCTGCTACTCTAAACTAGCCATCAGTAAAACAGCTGGAGTACTGCGTCCAGTTCTGGGCGCCGCACTTTAAGAGGGATGTGGACAGCATCGAGAGGGTCCAGAGGAGGCCACTCGTATGATCAAGGGACAGCAGGGTAGGTCCTATGAGGAAAGGTTGCGGGACCTGAACCTGTTCAGCCTTCAAAAGAGAAGGCTGAGGGGGGATCTTGTGGCCTGTTATAAACTGGTTAGGGGGGATCAGCAGGCGCTGGGGGAGTCCCTGTTCCCCCGAGCGCCGCAAGGAGTGACCAGGAACAATGGTCACAAGCTGGCGGAGGGAAGGTTTAAGTTGGACATCAGGAGGCGCTACTTCACGGTCAGGGTGGCTAGAGTCTGGAACCAGCTTCCAAGTGAGGTGGTGCAGGCTCCCACCCTGGGGGTTTTTAAGAGGAGGTTGGATGACCACCTTACTGGGGTCATTTGACCCCAGTGCTCTTCCTGCCATGGCAGGGGGTCGGACTAGATGATCTGCTCAGGTCCCTTCCGACCCTAGAAACTATGAAACTATGAAACAATATAGGGTAGAGAGTCACCACCTCGTTCTGGCGGCAGAATTAAAACGCTTAATGCTTTTCTTCTCTAGCCCTGCCAACACATTGCAGAAGTGTGGTCTGTGTAATCTCTATTTAAAATAGGAGAATATAGGGTAAGCACAGAAGTTAAGAGGCATGTTCATAGTCATACAGTAAATCCGAGAGAGGCAGAGCCAGGAGAAGAACGTGGGTATCCTGCCTCCCAAGCGGGTACTGTTTCTACCAGACCATGTTGCCTCCCTAGTAGACTCACTGGAAGAGCAGAGGTCCAGTGATCACTGATCAGCCAGCTGGTTCATGCATTAGCATTGCTGCAAAGGAGAATTAGATTTAGATCCTAGCAATGGCTCTCAGCCCAATTCCAGCAAGGCTAGAAGTGTCATGAGAACCTCCTCTTATTCTGGCACATTGACTTCAGATAGGGTTTGCCTGTGTTGAGGCAGAGTGTAAGCTGAATAAGGACTTCCAGATCTGGCTCTAGGATTTTAACATTATCTCTGTGGGTGGCAGCTTCAAAAACACTCAGCGCTGGCTTCCCTCTAAACTGACACCGAAGACAATGGGAGTTTTACTGTGCATTTCAATGAGAGCAAGCTGGGCCAAGGATGCACTCCACTGGAAAATCCCACAGCCTCTTTGCAGTAAAGAGTCCTTGCATCCTCAGCTCCTTTCCAGCTGTGCTTCCCTTCTCCAGCCTCACTCCCAGGCTTCCCCAGTCCTCTCTTACCTCCATGTTCTTACAGAAAGTGGCGTTGGTCCCAAAGAGGATCTGGCACTGCTCATCTGCGCTGTAGTGCATCCCTGGCAGCTTGTGAGGAAGCCGCACCACGTACTGGCTTCGGGGGTCGGTAACCAGCAAGCAGGTGCTGACCTTGGACCTGGTGAGGGCAAGAGTGAAGCATGCCATTAAGGAAAGGGGGTGGATGGGCACAGAGAAGGTGTCACTTCCCTATACCAAGCAAGCAGAGTGCCTTAGCAAGACACAGCTGACTGTGAGCAACCAAAGATGCATCTCAGATCATTAAGTTACAGATCTGGGGCTACAGAGGAACTGAGTATTTGCTCTGGTATATGATGAGCTAGCCATCTGACTGGCTTAAACCCTTTCTGAATTGCTAAGTGAATGAAATCAAACAATGGATGTGGTGGAAAAGGAGGTGGAAGTGAATTTACAGTTCCTGTCCCGTGCCCACTTCGGGGTGAGGGAATGACTTTGAATGAACTCTCTGAGAAACGAGCTTTTCTCCGGCTTTCACAAAACAGGCCATTTGAACGGCACAGAGCAGTCAAGACCTTCCAAAGAGGGAGGACATTTTGAAGACATCCATCTACTGTATTCCCAGACTGACTCCTGTCACCGCGAACACGGAGGGGATGCAGTTCTAAACTGGAGGTGAAATGGTTTTCTGTTCAAGAAGCTGTCAGTGCACTGACGTATGGGGCAGATACTGTTTTCCATTTCTTTGCTGTATTCTCTGCCAGCCTCGGATACAAAGAGGCTGCAAAAGGAGGCAGACTCAATCATCTGTGCAGAAATTTTACACACATGCACCCCCGCCTTCACCTCCCTCCCCGCCAGGCCCTGCTCTAACAAACGAGCTCAGTGTTTCCATTTCAAATCAGATCCCAGCTCCCGGCAAATACGGGACTTGCCCTGCTCATCGTGTCCTTACTTGAGGAAGTTTTCGAGGTCGTCACGGCTGCAGGAAGACCAAGAAAGGTCACTGGGATTCCTGCCCTTCACCCACTCTCCGGACATGATGTGTGACCTCCCTGCACAGGCTAAATGGTCGTCATCATGGCTCATCCCCATGCTGTTGAGTTAAAAAAAATACATAGATAAAGCCAAGCCACGTACGTGCTTATCATTCCCCAGTGCACGTCTCAATGATGTGCTCTGATCACCTGAGGTATAGCAGACCCAGCAGAAAGTAGAGCCTAGCGGAGAATCCATCGTTAATAAATCATCCCACACATGTAGCCTCCAGCCCATGCGCATATCACAATTTTCCTGAGTGTACCTCTTGAAGTTATAGTACACCTCTATAACTGCAAGAGTGGGTTAGTTGGTTGTTCCTCGCTCTCCAGGTTGATGGCCACCACCGGTAGGAGCTGATGGAAACATTATAAATTCTGGCAGCAACCTGTAGCTGGGTGACAGCTCTGAGACGTTTCATGGACCTGCTCCTAGGACCTGATTAGTGAGTGCATCTGGTGAGTTCTCATGCAAGCCAATTCAACAAGGCATTGCTGTTTTCAGTGGGCTTCCCATGGACTTTCCAAGCAGGAACTCGCTTGCTTGGAGGTTCACGAAAAGTGAGCACATGAAAGGGCTGAAGCACAGCAGAGCATTTTCAAAGCAGGACTTGCAGGAAACTCTGCCCTACTTGTTCATGTCTAGCAAAAAAAGCTAATTAGAGCCCAGCTGAGCACGGTCAACCAATACCAAAGTATAATTCATGTGAAACACTGGGCCTAACTATGCCCCTGTGCCAGTGTAAATCAGGAGTAACTCCACTTGACTTACAAGGGTTACTCAAAATGTGCACTATCCTTTAAGATAAGAGCACCCAGATGCCCCGACCAGAATCAGGGCCCCTTTTTACTAAGCACTGCCCCAGCCAGTAGAGAGAATGCAAAATGCGACCCACTATAGCTCATCCAAACAAATGATGCACATTGGGTGTATGCAAACATAACTGAGAAATTAAAATATCAATCCACTGAGTCTGCCCAAAGTGTTTTACAAGCCAGCGAGGTACTTCTGAGGTCATGGGTTAACACCACAGTTTTTTCTGCTGCGCAATGAGCGGATACGTGACTTGGGAAAGTTCATGTAACACGCAAGAAAGAGAATTGAGATAGCATAAACCCTAAATTCCCAGCCCATCCACATTACGTTACCTACCGACACTGTTAGGACTTCAGGCTGCCAGTATTACTTTTCTAGCAAAATAGCAGTCATCAGCATTAGGATCCAAAAGACCAGCCACAAGAGTAACAATAAGTCTCCCAGCTAAAGAAACAGTTTGTTCCTCAGCAGGATTCAACACCAACAAGTGCAAGGTGCTGCACCTGGGGAGGAAGAACCGGCACCATACCTACAGGCTGGGGAGCTCCCTTCTCGTCAGTGCAGAGGCAGAAAAGGATCTTGGAGTCATCATTGATGCCAAGATGAACATGGGCCGGCAGTGTGGGGACGCGGTCAGGAAGGCCAACTGCACCTTGTCATGCATCCACAGATGCATCTCAAGCAGGTCCAGGGAGGTGATCCTCCCCCTCTATGCGGCACTGCTCAGGCCGCAGCTGGAGTACTGCGCCCAGTTCTGGGCCCCGCACTTCAGGAGGGATGTGGACAACATGGAGAGGGTCCAGAGGAGGCCACTCGCATGATCAGGGGGCAGCAGGGCCGGCCCTATGAGGAGAGGCTACGGGACCTGAACCTGTTCAGCCTCCACAAGAGAAGGCTGAGAGGGGATCTAGTGGCCTGTTATAAAGTAGTCAGG